TAGTACATGTATATATTTCGTGTATATATTTTGTAATCCAAATGAGAATAGTTTGTAATCCAAGTGAGAATATGCAAATGTATATATTCTCACCTGGATTACAAACCCTAACATTCTAATTTTAATTCCACCAAGTGAAGTGCAAGAATCCAAATTATTGAAGTCCACCTTATCACAACCCGCACACCCGATTACCTAAATATACATGAACTTACGGTTAAAGCTTGACAGCTGGTCTCTTGTAGCTCAGTTGGTTAGAGCGCTGCACTGGAATCGCAGGGCCGTAGGTTCAATTCCTACCAGAGGACCTTGTGCTGCATTTTTCGCAGTCGTTCCTTGTTAGGTCTTAAAATGTACATATTCTCACTTGGATATACAAACCCTAACATTCAAATATTAATCCCAACAAATGAAGTGCAAGAATCCAAATTATTGAAGTCCACCTTATCATAACCCGCACACCCGATTACCTAAATATACATGAACTTATGGTTAAAGCTCAACAGCTGGCCGAGCTGTAACTCAGTTGGTTAGAGCGCTGCACCGGAATCGCAGGGCCGTAGGTTTTTTGATTGATTGATTTTAATAATTACCACATTGTAAATTAATAAAAATTTAAAAAACGTGATATTACATAGATAGTATTAAAATTTTTAAATTTGCAAAAAGTTCAATTTAAAACTACTATAATATAAACTATATTAATGATATGTACTATAAAATATTTTGTTATGTCTATGGTCGGTCCCAGTTTCTAACACACTTTGGGATAAACCTGTTCTTATATCGTTCAGTTTTGCACTTATACATAGGATAAGTGCGTTTATTTCTTAGACTGAATTTGTGAGATATAGCACTGGGAAGTAGCGTTCTCAACTTATCATCTGAGTGTTGATGGATATTCTTATAGAATGACAAGCACTGATTCTCTCTTCGCTGGTAAAGTGTAAGAAGGCCAGTGTTTCTTAGTGAGGTAGTATAGGAGGACTGGGGGAAAGCGATTTTCAATGCACGTTTTTGTATACTCTCGATTTGATCAGCGAGGAATTGAGGGAGAGAAAAATGCCATACAGGTGCGGCGTATTCCAAAACTGGACGAATAAATGCACAAAAGACCGTTATTAAATCATTGGCTGGGGCACCAGATCGTTTGAGGATCCTTAGAGCATAAAGACGTTTACTTGCTTTGGTGCAGATGTAATCAATGTGTGCATTCCAGGTAAGATCCGATGATATTATCACTCCCGGAAGTTTGAAGGTCTGGACGATTTCTATGTTTAAACCAGATGAAGAGAGGGCATCGAATACCATAGGGACTCTAAGAAAGGATATACGCAGTTCTTTGGTTTTAGATACATTAAGCCGCATGTTGTTGTGATTGGTCCAGTCATTTATAGTGTTTATATTAGCTTGAAGCGATGAAGTAGGGGACGATCTTGAAACGATTTCGTATGTGGAGCAGTCATCGACATATTTGTACATTGGGGTGTTGGTTTGCAAGTCATTTATCATCACAAGGAAGAAGAGGGGTCCAAGTTTTGTACCTTGTGGAACCCCTGCATTTATTTGTCGCCATGTTGATTTATTCTGGCCAATCTTGACACGTAAATATCGGTCATGCAGGAACTCAGCGCACCAATTCAACAAGATAGGAGGGATGTTGAGTTGTTGTAATTTATGAAGTAAAATATTGTGATCGATGCGATCAAAGGCTTTCGAAAAGTCAATCATACAACATCTGATAGTTGAACCAGGGTTTTCTAATTCGGCTAGCCAGGTATGGATCATGTGGATAAGAGCGTGTGTGGTGGAGCAATTTTTCATATTTCCGAACTGGAGCGGGTCGATTGATGGTTTAATATAACCAAAAAGCCATCGAAAAACAAAGCTTTCCAATAATTTACTCAGCACCGGGGTGAGAGAAATAGGTCTTAGGTCGCTATCAACTGATTTGGGATTAGATATTTTTGGCGCTGGGATAACGTCTGCTGATTTCCAGAGTGTCGGGATGCAACCTTGTGCAATGCTGGCATTGAAGATGGAACATATTGGACCAGCGAGCAACGGTGCAGCTGATTTCAGTACCCAATTGGGGATATCGTCGGGGCCAATTGCTTTCTGAAGACTGATCTTTTCTAATTCGATTTCAACTTGTTGGGTTGATATTATGTACTCATCAGGAACAGATGTAATGTGAAGCTTATTGAAGCAGAGTGGGGCCAATTCGTTTGAAACAGCACAGAAAGATTCGGCAATTAGTTCAGCAAGCTCAGAACCTCTTTTGAACTCACCATCATGGAAGATGCTCGAAAAAGGTTCCGATTTAGATAGACCAGAAATAGACTTGATGTTATCGTACCATTTTTTTGGGTTAGATTCACTGGTATTAAGGATTTTCTTATCGTAGTAGGACTGACGAGCAGATTTGCATAGTTTTCTAACTTTATTACGATAAACGTTATACATGATAGTGTTGCTGGTTAACCAAGCTTTCTGCCTTTTAGAAATGAATTTTTTTATATCTGCAGTGATCCATGGTTTATCTTTAGGGTAACACTTTATGGTGCGCAGAGGGACGTGACTATCGATAACAGAGGATAGTTTGTTCGAGAATAGGTTGAATTGATCATCTAGAGCAGTTACGTGGTAAAGTGGGGTCCAGTTGATTTGGGATAAGGTGGTGATTAGGGCTTGTTTGTTTGCGGGTCGACAGTCTCTTTTAGTAATGTAGGAGGGGGTATAAGACTTGAGTGACTTCGGACTTTGTTTAGTCGGATTGAGGAGTATTGTTACCACGGGTGGATCTTTTCACAACTTGTTTAAGATTAAAGGATGAAGTTAATGATCCAGGTTTAAACTGGTTAAAGTCCCCTAACAAGACGATGCCTGCGTTTGGAAAATTGATGAGGGCGTTGTCTAGGGATTCAAATAGATGGTTCCTTAGTGTTGAATCGTTATTTTGTGGAGGGTGGTATACAGAGGCTACTACAATTGCATCAATTCCTCTTGGAAGTCTTTTTGGTTTTATCAAGAACCACTGTGATTCAATGTCGGGGTGAGATAAGTCTTTTAATTCTAGGAAGTCCAATGTATTTCTGATGTAGGTGCAGAGTCCACCACCACGTTGATCGTCACGTCGGTCTTTGCGAATACTTGAAAATCCGGGGATCTTAATGAGATCATTCGTAATGTTTGACGAAAGCCATGATTCTGTGATGATTGCAACATCACATTTATTATTAGTAATAGTTGCACTGGTCCTACAAGAGGACCTTGTGCTGCATTTTTCGCAGTCGATCCTGGTTAGGTCTTAAAATGTATATGTTCTCACTTGGATTACAAACCCTAACATTCTAATATTAAGTCCACCAAGTGAAGTGCAAGAATCCAAATTATTGAAGTCCACCTTATCATAACCCGCACACCCGATTACTTAAATATACATGAACTTACGGTTAAAGTGCCTATGAAATGAAATTTATTATTTCAGTATTTGGTACTTTTGGCAACGGAAATTTCGAATTTGATAATAAAAATGTCAAATTTTAAGAGCAAACAGTAGTTTTTGCAAGCTTTTGTAACGTTTTTATATTGAAAAAGTGGTCCGGAGACTGGGAACGAATTAAATACGCGTGACGTAATTAGCAGGGC